AAAAAATATGATTTAGAGTTTGATCTACATAGTCTTAAAATTTTGATCTCCGGCACTTCGTTGGCTATTTCGATTCAAAACACAAAATAAAAGTTAAAGATTTTTTTCTGTCGCACTGCAGACGGTACATACACGACAGTCTAAATTAACCGTGCAAGTCGAAATTTGGCACACTTTCAAATCCTGATAGTGTGCTATCAGGATTTGAAAGTGCCCCATGTAACTTAAAGATTTTGAAAGTTTTGAAATTAATAGACGCGACAGTTTGTAAAATGTACTCATAAAAATTATCACCATATAGACCCTACAGTACATGTATTCAGGAAACAGAAAAAATTTAAAATCCAAAAGAAAAGTATAATCTACGAAATTTTTTACTTTCCTTTATATTGTAATTTCCGTGAAATAATTAATATACTGTATATCTAAAATTTTCTTACAGGCTACTATGAAGTCACAATAAGAATAAGATGTTTTTTTCTTTTCAAATTTACCTACAATAATTTCAATAATTCTTTAATAACTTAAAATTTCTCATTGTATATCGAGTAAGCGAAAGCAAATGCTTGTATTTAGCTAAATTTTTTAGAAGGTAATGTAAAAGTGCCAAAACATCCATATAAACGGGAAGAGGAAGAAAACGAAGATGTATCCATTCCAACGGGTTAAATCATTGGGTCAGCTCTTTTAATATTTATTTTCATTTTTATTGCTTTTATTTTAACATATTTTAAATGTTGAAATATCGAAAATATTAAGTTGTAAATAAATTAAATCCAATAGAAATATTTAAGTCTCAAATTCGTATTTTCGATACTACTGTATTTCTATCTCTCTATTATCTACAGTCAAATATGAGATGATTATTTTAAGACATGAAAACTTTATTTTACTTTTTCAATAAGTATTTCTGACTATTAGATTATTTTTCAGTTAGTTTTGGTTCTAAGAAGTTTTTATTTACAAATTTGAAAAATATTTTTATATAAGGAGTACATTTTAAATTCCACCAATATTCCTAATAAATATATTTAAAACTCCTCACGATCTGTTTTATGAATTTAATCATATATTTGAGGAGGAATTCTTAATTCTACAATTCTTCAAAAATAATATAAAAGAATATAAAAGATTTGAGCTAAAATCACCCAACCAAAGACCTTGATAGAGTCGAAAAACATAATGGAAAGAAATAGTTTTCACGTTTTGAAATAATGGTCTTGTTCTCTGACCGTGGATGATGAAAGAAATTTAGAAATAGTATCGAAAGTAATGCTACAGAGAATTAACTTGTCTTTTTTTATTTATCGATCAGATGAGTCAAAATGGTGGGGTGAGTTTTTCTACTGTTATAAAGATTCAAAGTTTGAATTTAATTTTAACTTTCTTGATCCGTTGTTTAGATTAGATCAAAATTTCATTTTCCTACTCGTCGTCTACGCTAAGCGATCTCATTCAGGATCAAACCCATTTATAATAAATAAAACTATGATAAACTCCTCATAGTGCATTGATGTCTCACGAGATCGATACGAACTGTTATTGACATAAGGTTTTATGCAATTCTTCTATATTATTTAACTTACTTTATATATAAAAATAGTGAATACAAAATAATTAATTCGTTTGTATAATTTATTAAGTGAATTAAATTAATCTGTTTCAATCAAATTATTTCATGAGTGCTATTACTTTTGGGGAATGAATGAAAGTCCGTGTTACGAAGTTCGTAGGAGAACACGAAGGAGAGGAGAAAGGCTTTAAGGAGATCTTTAAGGATTCACTTTTGGTTGACGTTAATTTTTTTTTTGTCTGGCATCTCCTGAATATCAATACAGTGTTCTTATTTCTGTTAGTTCTTATCTCATACTACTGGATTTAGATTTAGTATAACATGTTCAGAAGCCCTCCTCGCTATGCATTCTGTTATGCATGCAGAAAGCATATAATTTATTTAAATAATTTTGTAATTTGATGTTATCATGGATTAACAAGTAAAATTGTATGTGTAATATTACACTTTACGCTGTATTATGAAAGGAAACAATTACTATGCTTATTCATAGATTAACTTGAAACTTTATATAAAGTCAAAACTCTCATACACATCCTCTGAGTAATTATATATAATGTATATTTTTAGAATTATATTATTTTCTTTATATTAAAAATGATTGTCATGATTACCAGAATATATCAGTTCTTTATTAAATATATTAAAATGGTTGAGAGCCTTAATGAATGATTTATAAATTTACTTTTATTGTTGTTCGTACTTCTATCCAATATTATGTCACTTGATTAAACGTATTAAATGTATGGACAGAAGATAATTTACCTAATAATTATTTATTTGTCGGAAGATATATTATATATTCACTAATATTTGTAACCCAATGTACCCCTTGTAACTGGAATTTTTTCCAAATTACGCTAATAAACTTGAATTGAATTGAAATATATTAAAAATGATTGTAGATCAAAAGTATATCTTATATAAAAAATGACTATCTGAAATTGTCTAATTAACAAAATATTTTAAAAATTTATAGGCTTAAATCGTCTTGAGAATATTTAAGTGATAAGATTTTTACATTAACTAGCAGAGTTGTTTTAAACTGTATTTCTGATCTACCACTGTATATCTATAAATTATTACTTAATTAGCTCTTCTAACAAGATAGATTGTAAAAGTTATTTCATAGTCATTCTTGATATTAGTGTGATTGAAAAATGTATATTAATAACATAAATATGCGTAAGGTTAATAAACCGTTTCAAAATGTTAAGAATATAACGTCGATTCTTAGTGAAAAAATCTGATTTATGAAATGAAATTTCAATTGGATTAGTTAAATTTGAAATTAATTATTCAAAATCTGAAAAATGCATGAATGAAAGTTATAACAGATTTACTTAATATATTAATATTAGATTTTGCTTAAATTAATATATTAATATTTATTTTTATACAAAAATATTTAATTAATATTTAGTAATTCAGTTACATAAAAAATACTTTACCGTACGTTAATTAAAAGGTAAATTTCGTGTTATGTTTACATAACAACATATGGATATGTTACGTCAATAAAATCAAAAATAAATAATACTACATTTAGAAATATCCAAGGATAAAATGCTAAATATTTAAGTCTATTTTTAAAAGTTTAAATAGCAAAAGATTTATTTTGTAGTTAAATAAATATGAATTTTATATAACAAAATTTTGAATTTATTTCTTCGTAAATTTTGACTGACAAATTTGTTTCTTTTGCTTCCATAATTTCAGTAGCGTTTTGTATTTTGTAATTTTGGTGTAATTATTTACTTTTCTAAACTGAAAACTGTTATTATTATTAAGGTAAAATTAACATAACAACATTATATTATTCTATTATATTTCTTATATTTATTCAGATTTCTTCAAAAGATATATAAACAAAAACTTAAGAATTTATATAAAATCAATAATCTTCATTCTCTAAGTACTGTACATCGCAGATAATAGTATAATTACAGAATCGTTTTCATTCATTTCACATCTCAACGAATAATCTCAGTCGACATCGAGCATACAAAGCAAATAATGCACACAGAATGGTAGAGTAGTTGTTGAATGACCTTGACGCAGTGCAGAAGCGATCGTGAGAAATAGACCACGTGGATATTGAACTCTCCAGGAATTGAATTTGTAGAATATTTTATTCCTGAGAATTTAATAAGTTTTATCTACGAGAATTTGTAATGTTAGATGAACGAAGCTTATCATCGAGAGCCTCAGAACAGGTCGCCTTGGCCCGGGCCATCACTTCCTTACTTGGTTGTAGTTATTCGATCCAATATACTAACGACTCAGCAGCTTGGTTATTTTAAGTATGGATACCAAGATCTACTGTCTGAAATGGATCAGCACAATAGAATTCAAATTTACAGTATTAAACAAAAAGGATCAAAAGTTGCAATTAAATAAAATCAATCCTATCAATTAATAAATTAGAATACAAAACAAAAATAAAAAATAATTTTTTTTTTCAAATTTTATATCTTAAATTTAAATGCATTATTTTGTACCGTACTTCATTTATTGTGGTAATTTATAAGTTATACAATTTATTATTTGAGTTGGTATTAATCGAGACAGGCAAGGACCCACACTTGGAAAGATGCCAGCATTTAACTACTTCAGACAAACATTTAGAGGATGATAAGGTCAATGTTATTTAACAGAAGCAAAGAGACCAGGAAAAGAAGGAAGATGAAAGAATCTACATTTATAAACAATATTTACCATTTATAATTTAAAGTAAATAATTTTTTTATTGAATGAAAACTTTAAATAAACTAACTGAAATTTTATCTGACTCTTTTTAAACTGTATACTAAAATTAGAATAAAATATACTTTTTTTTTTAATAATACTTTTCCATTCAATCTTTTATTAAATTCTCGAGTATTTAAATTAATCTTAAATAATACTTTACAGAATAAACTTTCCGCTTACTTTTTACTACAGAACAATATTTTTTATGATAAGCAATCTTAAGTTATTTTATTTGAAATAATATATATTATGACAATTTCATAATAGACAAAAAGGAGAAAAGTTAAAATATTGATTTTTATATTAAGATTATTACCGTAATTGGATTTCCTTATTATATAGGACTTAGGACATAACAAAGATTAACCTTTTATAAAGGGAATATAAAAATTACAAACAAAATTAATTACTCAAATGAATCTTATTCTATTTTAATTTGAATTAAATTATAGTTTTTGGATTTCATTGTTTTAATCATTAATATAGTTAATTATGTAATTTATAAATTGTTAGATCCAGAGCAATTATCAACACTCTACAGCGAATAAAATCGGTATAAATAGCATATTGACAAAATAAAATCGAATGAATAATCACAAGTTATTCAATAAACAATAAATGCGTAAACAATCTGAATTAATCTTATAAAAACAAAACAAAACAAACAATTAATAAAGTAAAAATACATTTAAAATAAGTGTTTCAATGTTGTTATTGTATTTACTTTTTTAAAGAAATAATGAGTCTAATACAATAACATATGACTGAATTTTATGGAAACAAAAAATATATCTGTCAAATTTGGAACAATTTCGAGCTGTATTACAGAGTATACGTTTTAATTAACTCTTAAATAAACTTCTATCTATATTATGCTAACACCTTAATAAATGGTATGTAATTTTAATATAAATATAAAATTGCAATTTTTAAACATTTGAAAATATAAATTGTTCATCCGTCGTTCGCTCCAGTTGACAGTCCAGAATTTTACAAACACTGTCAACTGGAGCGAACAATGGATGAACATTAAAGATGGAAGTTTAAAGGTTGCCTAATGTAAAGACCACCAGACAGTGGTCTTTACATTTGACAATCTTTAAACTTATGCTGTTGCATGCACCAGCTGCAGTCAGGGATTTTATCTGGGCAGTCTTTTTCCATATATCCAAGCTTGCAATAATTATAACATTGTAGGATAGATATAAAATCATCTCAGCTGCATCTCAACTATTTTAAATTCACTTTCCTTAATGCAATAAGCTTCTGTATCTTTGGATCCAATTCAATAACCCAGTTAGTAGAGTTTTTATTTCTGGGTCCTAATCGGTATTTAAGCTTCTCATGATTTTGAAACTTCTCAGGGAAGTATTTATCCATGAAATTTTCATTTTTGCTATATAGTAAGTTNAATATAAATATTTACATATTCATATTATGCCTGTTTTTGGACACTCAAGTATCAAAAAACAGACATAATTGTCCAATCTGTAGATACGAGTCCAGATACAGTCTACAGAATGATTCTCGTTGGATTAGAATCTTGAGAAAATGAAAAAAAAAAAAAAACAATACAGATCCATGAACATCATGAAAAGAAACCGCTTTGCAGGTGATAGTATCATGATATGAAGAGATATGGAGCTACGGCCATTAAGCATATTTTTGCAAGGGGTACCATTATTGCAAAAAGAAAATACAGAGACAAAGTTCTGGAGCATTACGTAAAAATTTTCCAATGTTCTGTGGATACAGATATCGTTTTCTTGCACGATAATTCTCACGTACACAGAGCTGCACTCATAAATGACTTTCTTGACAGTGAAGATATTTGTTGCATGGAATGACTAGCAAGATATTCTGACCTTAATCCAATATAACACAAGCTGCATCTCGTCAGCTTCACTAAAAACACTCTAGGAGCTTCAAGATACTCTTGTTCAAGAATAGACTTTGCTCCCGACAATGCTGATAATTTTCCTTATTAATTCTTTCCGTCTTCTGGGAACTAAGAGGGCATTTACTAAGTCCAAATAAACAATGTTATAACCAGCATGTGCAACCGCTGTGCAGCGTATGCGTGCAGGAACAACTATATACCATACCGATCATTTTCTGTGCAAAAAAATTTACGACAATACTTCGTACCTTTTCTTCTTATTTTCTGGTTTGACGCAATTTAAAGCAAATTATTTCTTTTCAATTGTTTTAATACATTAAGAATAGAATGTTCTGCTCGTATGTTAGGTTTTACGCTGTTATGATAAATAATTCCTGATAAATAGTTCCTGAGATATAGGCCAAATTAATCGTTATGCTTATATTTTTGGACATGGGTGTATATATTCATTTATAAGTTGGCTAGAAGATTATTCACTACTTCCCAAAGTTGACAGAAATATAAGCTATCATTTGCGTGTATATAAATTTCAAAATTTATTATTAATAACTTTTAAAAGATAAATACTATTGCAAAATATTTTTTAAAATCCAGCAACGAGTTGCGTAACTTTTCCGGCAAAAACATTTAAAACTCCGCCATCCGTTATGATATTTTATTAAAATATTTTTTATATTATTAATTATTATAAAATGGCAAACAGCTTAATTTTGATAGTAGAGATGAGTTTTATTTTTAAAAATTTAAATGCTAACAACGAGTAAAACCTTCAGTAAGTCCGACCCCATTCGAGATATGACACTTGACCTTTAACCAATCCTCCTAATAAACAAGCCATCCCGCGAAATTTCAAAAATTTTCGACAAAAAGGCACAGGCATTATTAAGCTTTAAAGTGGGTGAACAAAATCGTGCCACATTAACGTCCACACACACAGAAAAAAGAAATTCAGATTTTTTGTATTTCTCGTCGTTTCAAGGTCCCATTAGTCCAAAAATGTAAAATTCTGCGGGTCATATGACCGATTGCCATACTTTCCTTCTGTTATATATAACAGCCGAAAAAATAAAAATATATAAATGATGGGTTGTTATAATAAAAACAAAGAATAATTTCTATTTATAATTGTTTATAATAAATCTATATCTTTGTTTATTATTAATTTTAAATAATGTAATAATAAAAAATTTTAAGAATGAAAATAGAAATTGTAGAAATAAAAATTTTAATATATTGATTTAATCAATCAATTGATTTATTCAATGAATCAATCAGTTTATCAATTGATGTGTGCGCGCGCCCAAAAAGTTTTCAATGCTTTTATTCTTATTGTTTGAAAAAAAAGAAAAAAAAATATGATTTAGAGTTTGATCTACATAGTCTTAAAATTTTGATCTCCGGCACTTCGTTGGCTATTTCGATTCAAAACACAAAATAAAAGTTAAAGATTTTTTTCTGTCGCACTGCAGACGGTACATACACGACAGTCTAAATTAACCGTGCAAGTCGAAATTTGGCACACTTTCAAATCCTGATAGTGTGCTATCATGATTTGAAAGTGCCCCATGTAACTTAAAGATTTTGAAAGTTTTGAAATTAATAGACGCGACAGTTTGTAAAATGTACTCATAAAAATTATCACCATATAGACCCTACAGTACATGTATTCAGGAAACAGAAAAAATTTAAAATCCAAAAGAAAAGTATAATCTACGAAATTTTTTACTTTCCTTTATATTGTAATTTCCGTGAAATAATTAATATACTGTATATCTAAAATTTTCTTACATGCTACTATGAAGTCACAATAAGAATAAGATGTTTTTTTCTTTTCAAATTTACCTACAATAATTTCAATAATTCTTTAATAACTTAAAATTTCTCATTGTATATCGAGTAAGCGAAAGCAAATGCTTGTATTTAGCTAAATTTTTTAGAAGGTAATGTAAAAGTGCCAAAACATCCATATAAACGGGAAGAGGAAGAAAACGAAGATGTATCCATTCCAACGGGTTAAATCATTGTTACAGTTGGGTCAGCTCTTTTAATATTTATTTTCATTTTTATTGCTTTTATTTTAACATATTTTAAATGTTGAAATATCGAAAATATTAAGTTGTAAATAAATTAAATCCAATAGAAATATTTAAGTCTCAAATTCGTATTTTCGATACTACTGTATTTCTATCTCTCTATTATCTACAGTCAAATATGAGATGATTATTTTAAGACATGAAAACTTTATTTTACTTTTTCAATAAGTATTTCTGACTATTAGATTATTTTTCAGTTAGTTTTGGTTCTAAGAAGTTTTTATTTACAAATTTGAAAAATATTTTTATATAAGGAGTACATTTTAAATTCCACCAATATTCCTAATAAATATATTTAAAACTCCTCACGATCTGTTTTATGAATTTAATCATATATTTGAGGAGGAATTCTTAATTCTACAATTCTTCAAAAATAATATAAAAGAATATAAAAGATTTGAGCTAAAATCACCCAACCAAAGACCTTGATAGAGTCGAAAAACATAATGGAAAGAAATAGTTTTCACGTTTTGAAATAATGGTCTTGTTCTCTGACCGTGGATGATGAAAGAAATTTAGAAATAGTATCGAAAGTAATGCTACAGAGAATTAACTTGTCTTTTTTTATTTATCGATCAGATGAGTCAAAATGGTGGGGTGAGTTTTTCTACTGTTATAAAGATTCAAAGTTTGAATTTAATTTTAACTTTCTTGATCCGTTGTTTAGATTAGATCAAAATTTCATTTTCCTACTCGTCGTCTACGCTAAGCGATCTCATTCAGGATCAAACCCATTTATAATAAATAAAACTATGATAAACTCCTCATAGTGCATTGATGTCTCACGAGATCGATACGAACTGTTATTGACATAAGGTTTTATGCAATTCTTCTATATTATTTAACTTACTTTATATATAAAAATAGTGAATACAAAATAATTAATTCGTTTGTATAATTTATTAAGTGAATTAAATTAATCTGTTTCAATCAAATTATTTCATGAGTGCTATTACTTTTGGGGAATGAATGAAAGTCCGTGTTACGAAGTTCGTAGGAGAACACGAAGGAGAGGAGAAAGGCTTTAAGGAGATCTTTAAGGATTCACTTTTGGTTGACGTTAATTTTTTTTTTGTCTGGCATCTCCTGAATATCAATACAGTGTTCTTATTTCTGTTAGTTCTTATCTCATACTACTGGATTTAGATTTAGTATAACATGTTCAGAAGCCCTCCTCGCTATGCATTCTGTTATGCATGCAGAAAGCATATAATTTATTTAAATAATTTTGTAATTTGATGTTATCATGGATTAACAAGTAAAATTGTATGTGTAATATTACACTTTACGCTGTATTATGAAAGGAAACAATTACTATGCTTATTCATAGATTAACTTGAAACTTTATATAAAGTCAAAACTCTCATACACATCCTCTGGGTAATTATATATAATGTATATTTTTAGAATTATATTATTTTCTTTATATTAAAAATGATTGTCATGATTACNAGAGTTTATGATAAACGTTATTTAAAATAAAATATTGCATTTAATTGTTATTAAATTAATACCTATACATAAAAATGTACACTAACAAGTTTTTTTTTATTATAAAATGATTACACAGTATAAACAAATTAAGTTTTTTAAATGAGAGAAAGACTTAGCACTATAATATAAAAACTTTTAACCGTTTAGCATTCGGAGGTTATTGTGAACGAATAAACAACAAAGATAAAGTGGGGAAAAAGGTAAGACAAAACAAAAAATTATCAAGAAAGGAAAACACATTGCAAATGAACAAAGACAGGTGACGAAGAAATAAGTTAAAGTAGAACAGTTTACAGCAAACACAGACAAGATGCAAAATATTTGCATATCAATGGCGACAGAGCGCAAATATATTTAGTTTTATTGTAAAATAGTTACTTTTACTTCAAGTCTCCCTGTATTAAAAAATATGAAATTTGAAAGCTGAAATCCGCATAAAACTAGACACGAGAAACATGCATGTTTAGTGTATTATATTGCTCACTCGAAACGATATGACAGTTATATGCAATAGCAATTGCACACGGAAGAGCTATTATTTCTCGATGAAAAGAGAGAACATTGATAAACACGAATAGTTAAATTAACGATTATACTTTACGAATAGCCATTGACGTTTTCCATATCAATTTATCTTACAACGTAAAAATAAATGATAATTACACTTTCGCAAGAGACAGGCGAAACTGCCAAAACTAGACAAATCAGTATTGTTAGTATTATCATAAAAAATTATTACAAATACATTTGACTGGAAACTATATTAGAGTCATAAAAACTAATAGGATGATAACATTTAAACAAATATAATGACCCGAAAACGAATATCGTATATGTTTGTTAGTAGATGATTGCCGATTGTTGAAAAATTCAAAAAGGCATTCGTATAAAATCACGTAGAGAATTTGAAATCAGCGACTCTCCTGCATAGAATTCGTCACATAGAAAAAACTACATACATATTCGCAGATGAAAATACTTTCAATTAGAAATTCCGAAGTCAGCACCCTAGCGAATAAGTCAAAGTTCCCATTATCCCTGGTCATTCTATAATTATGTTTATTATAGATAAATAAAAAATAAGATAGAAAATTTTCTGATTATTTATTCATTACAAAATTATAGTAAAACTGTTATAACTCTAATAGATTCAAATGATTCGCTGAGGAATTTATCAGCAAATTTCTAAAGACGCTATAATTGGAACTTATTTGGATAATGACGCACAAAATCGTCAAGAGCCGAGAGATTACAACGCATTGATGATTGGAACTACTCAGTGAAATTTTTTATATTTATACACGTCAAAATTTAAACCCTTAGAAATGACTTAAATCAAACTTTTTTCCAGGGATAAATAAAATAATAATAATAATAATAATAAACTTTATTAGCATAAAGGAAAGTGTCCCTGTTGCAGGGGGTTGTACAAAAAGGTATTATTTGTACGAAAAATCCATTTAAAAAATAATAAAAATGCCGAATCTATAAATGGAATTTAACATAAAAATAAAATAATAAATTTTTTAAACGAAACTTGTGTAAAATATTTCTTCCATAGTGAAAATATTGTGACATTATCTGAATTGCTGTAATATTATTATTATATTTTAAATTTAAATATCATATATAAGAAATTAAATATGGCACCAGAACAAAAGATCCACATTTTGTTTGAAATTTGAAATGTGAATCTTCTGTTATGGATTTTAAAGTTAGTTTCTCTTTAAAAAGAATGAGATCAAATATATTAAAGGTTATTTTTAAAATTAAATGTAACATTGTAAGAAATTGTTTTCAATACATTTCAATTATTTACTTTATAAAATATCTCAATTTTATACATTTGATTAGGAATTATATTTCTAAAGATTTCGATTGTCAATTATTCCCTTCCAACAGAAGTTCATTTAAGAATTTATCAATAATTTTAAATTTTTGACTTAAATTAAAATCAATAGTTTGTTGAATTAAAACAGAAAAAAAAATTGACATTAAATATTTGGAAACCAATTTTCCATTATAAAGTTCAATATTTTTAATCTTTTCGAAAATTTTCCGAAAATAGCATTTTACTTAAAATTTCAAAATTATAAATCAATATAATAATAATTCTAGAATTAAAATTTAAAAAAAAAACTAAATTTTTGATAAAATCTAACATCTTTAAAATCAAAAAATGAATAAATAAATTGAATTTTCTAATTTTTCTTCTTAATTATATAAGCCTAAAACTTTAGAGTATTAAATTTATCAAACTCAAATGAAAGTATAGACTTATTTTGACAAGTAAACTTAGTTAAGACTTTAAAAAAAATCCGTATAATAGCAGGAATAACGACAGTTAAAATAACTTCTAAATATAACATAAATATATACATATTTATTTTTAAAAGTTGTATATATTTATACAATTTCAATTAATAAAATTAATTTAGAGAATATTAAAATATTGTTGAAAATTATATACAGTAAATTTATTAAAACAATTTTTAATGTCGTTAAATATATTAAATAAATTTATTAAAGAAAATTTGAAAATAAATATTTTATTGCAATATAAAATAAACGAAATAAAATAAGCAATTTTTAGAAAATGAATATAATTTAAATATGGAAAATTATTTATAAAATAAACAAACGAAAGTCTAAAAATATGTTTCTAATTTAAATTTTGAAGAAATTCTCTTAAAAATTTTTTTGTTAATTCAATTGTTTTACCAATGTTAAAACATTTCACAATAAAAAAATTATCATTAATATCAAAAATAGTATTTTTTGTTATAAAGTAATAATTTCTTTCATTTCATCAACTGTCAAAACTGTTAATCTGAATTAAAGCTAGGAACTTTCTTTAAAAAAAATACTATTTCTTTAAAAGTGTTTCTATAAACTATTTAATTTTATGTATAATGAATATCGCTTTTATCATAATTACATGCAAAACGTTTCTGCAGACAACAATTCTATATTTTTAGCTATTAAACGATCGACTGATTATAGTATTTTATGAAGTTTTTTGAAATAATTAAAATTGAAATTGCACTTTATTTATATTTTACAGACGTTATTGGATAAATAGATTCAATATTGCTTATAAAAACATTACTGAATCTATTAACTTAAATCTAACTAAATTCAGAAAAATCTATTACTTTTTCTTCTTATCATGCTAACGCACAAGTTCAAATATATATACAGGTATCATGATTTTTAAATGTTTTATGAGCTTTGTTATAATTTATGTTAAAAATTAATAAGGCAAAAATGAAAAGCTGTCGTTTGAATAAATCGAATTCAAAATATAATATTATAACATAAAAAATATAAAATATTAATAAAATAATCAATTTATTTAACATTTATACGATATAAATTCTGAATAAGCTCGTATAATTTGTCAAATAAAATTTAAAATATTTGTTTTCAGTATAAATCAATTACAGAGATTTGATTTTTTTTCATTTATATACAGTTATAATACAGTCCATATAATTTACTGTATATATCTGGAAAGATAATTTACACTTATATACTTATATACAATATACATTTTTGTTATAATTAAAATACTCGAAAACAAATTTCTTTATAAATAGTTTCTATATTATTAAATTATCTGTTGTAGAAAGAATAGTTGGTATAAATTTGTCTTTTATTTTACCGATGAATCACGAAAAAACAGTAAAATAGAAGGAAAATTCCAAAGAAAATTTCGATTAAAATAAACTTTTGTAAAAAATTCGGATAAAATATAGTTGTATTTTATTACCTTATCAATAAGCATGTTTAAATAAATAATTTAAAAATAAAGAAATATCAATAACATAGCAGTAAGATTTCCACAATTTAAATACTAAATAATATGCACTGTTTCTTGAATATATAAATATATTATTAATAATAACATGCTAATTAAATAAATATATTTATATATACATTTCATTTTCTTTCTTCGCCCCAAATTGATATAATTATAATGAGAAATTAGATTATTGACAACAACATAAATACAAATAAAAACAGCATATTTATTTCTGTCAAAGTAATAATAAATGGAATAAAAAGAATATCTTACGTCAGAAGTTTGTAAATAAAAAAAAATGCAAAAATTTTATTCTTCTTTAACTGTTTTTTTTTTTTCTATTTAAATTTATATGCTAGTAAATTCATATTTAAAAAAATACATAAAACAAACTGCAATAGTGATATTATGTCTATTGTTATTCTAAAAGTATATAAATATTCTAGGAAAATCCTTTCTAGAGAAAATTTAAAATAATTCTGGTACTAATTAGCATATTAAAATAATGCATAGAAATTAATTAATGGCTAACAAATTTTGCATAAATCTAATTATTTAGGTTTCATTAATATATATAATTATAAATTTTCTCATTAAAAAATTTTAAAAATTATTATTTTATTTATACAATTATATAAGTAGAAATTTACTACTTTTGATATGAATAATAAAAATAACTCCATTTAAAACAATAGTAGACTAAACGTTACTATATTAGTGGTTTAATAGGAAAAGTCATTTTTACCTTATTGACTTTTCATTAAACACTAACCACATGTTACTGAAAATTTTCCTCAGAAATTTTTTTCAGTCACATAAATTTAATTAATAATATGATTTATTAAAAATTTGAGTATCAACATCATAACCAAATTTCCACTTAATTAAAAATTATCTTTCGCATAATAATTAAAACAAAACAGCTTAAATCTTCATATTTAATTTTATAAATTATTAACTGTTTATTGAACATTTTCAAAATTATGCTAAATTTTAAAATAATTTTTACGCCCCATCTCTTTCAATTAGTAGCTTTTTTCGAAATCTATTTAAACTTAAAAGAAAAAATTAAAACACAGTATTTAATTTACATTTGTTAATGAAAATACTAGTATATCTGCATAAATCGATGGTATTACCACATTAAAGTATTACTTAGAAAAACTCAACTCCAAAAAATTGGATTACACTTAATTGCAATTTTTCACTCCCTTTATTAATACGAAACGAAATAATTTATGAGATAAGTAAACAATTTTATTAATTTATATATTATCCATTTACTAAATCAAAGAATAATAAATAATAATAATAATAGAATTAAATTGAAATAAATTTTAGTAGACAGACAAAACTCGTGTCTGTAATATTCATTCTCATTTATTTTAATTTTTGAAATAATTTTATTTTTTTCACTTGATCAATTAAATTTAAAAATCTAATCAAATTAAAAATTTAACTTATTAAATAAAAATATAAAATGACATATTAAAACGATCAAATTTTATTTTAATATTTTGAGTACGAAATAACGAAACAATTTGTTAATTAAATCTATTTTTCTCATAGAGAATTTGCATTATTCGAGACGACGTTAATTGAATTACGGTTTAATTCACGAAAGAATTTTTAAACACGTTCCACACGAAAGATTAAAATAGTTTATAGTTTATTAAGAGTTAAATGATTTAAAAAGAATTGAGTAAATGTTTATTGGAAAGTATTGCATTTAGAAATCGATAAGTTAAATCGTAGACCGTTTGTTACGCAACACACGATGCAAGAGAAGGCCAAGTGTGTCGTCTGCTACAGTGATTAAGAAACCGTAACAGTAGTCGGGACGGTTTCGATCGGTATGGCCAAGGTATTGTATTATAATAATAATTACTGACGATCTTACCGTTCTCAAGAACGAAACATCGTCCTGTTCGGATCCTCCTTCTGCCGGATCCCCCATTTTCAATCTTTAGTGAAATCCAGCCGAAGCTGGATTCAACTGGGAATCTTCCTTATATCAAACGGTGCAGTTACGGGTTAGGCTTAGATCCGCTGTCGTCGTCGTAGTCGTCGTTTCCGTCTTTTTTTACCGTCCGATGTTCAAATACCGAACATGAAGACGGTCGTCGAGACGAATTCCGTCTTGAATCGTAGCTCGATTGGTTACACGAGTACGTGATAGCAAAAGTCTACGGACACTATTTTGGTTGTGGAACTTTCGCTTGCGCAGACGCTGCATTAGCGTGTTCTTGTTGGCGTTGTGCCCGGGACTGTTTGACGTTGCACGTGATCGACACCATCATATGCGGATGAGAATACTTCTCCATTCTTAGATGTTTTTTCTCTTCTTCTTTCCCCAGTCACTGATTTTATCCGAATATTTAAAAATAAAATTTCCATTTTAATATGAGTTTATAAATAATGGGAAAAAAGTAAGCTGGTGTATACGTACGCGTACAATTGTACGTAGGTCTATAATCGGACAAATGACTAAAATCTCCGATTAATCGGTTAAATTAAAAGTAGAATAAGAAAATTTTGTTAGAAAAACAAAATATTTCTGTGTTACTATTTAATATACATGATTATTTTTAATATATTATGTAACTTTGCAAAACTTTTAATATATGTATCAAATTTATATTATTAATTTCTAAATATTTTATTATCGATTATTTATCCGCCCATATATAATTATAATCGTGTTACTGATAAATTAGAAATATTCGTTTAATTAGATTAAGCTGATCATATCTGTGTTAGGCTATTAGAGAATTTGATTATTTTCACAAAATCATTTACTATATTATTACACAGATGGAGGTGAAGTATGTTCAAGTTTCGTTAATTTTATCATGTACAACTGAAGCTTTTTGATAAAGTTAAGTAGAGAAACTTCTAGAATTCCTTCAAGGCGGAACAGAGTTATTTTAGCACGCATCAGATGACACAATAAATGACTAAGTGTAGAATGTTTTAGAATAGGCCAACTGCATTTCTTTTTTCGTTCAAGACAATAGAAAAAGTAAAGATTTAAACCAAGTGAAGTTTAAAACATGTAAATAAAATAAATATTTAATCCGATTTTTTAAAAACTAGCTAAAATCTGCTTAAGTTTAATAAAATAATTTAAAATTTTGAAATAAATATATATATTATTATTATTATTATTAAATAAACTTTTAATTATATTTAATTTTTAAATTGTTTAAATTAAATTTTAATGATTTATAAATTTCATTTTAGTTTTAAATAAAATGACTTATATTTAGTGAAATTTTCAATAAAGAGTAATGAAATCTAATCTTTTATTAAATTTAATCATTCTTCCAATCATCTGTTGAATAAAAACACAATCGAATTAATATGGCATAATAGAATTTTCAATATTTATGAAGAGATTCTTTCGAGATCGATCTGGATGCAAATGAGTCAACAACCTTTGTGGAGATTATTTTCATCCATTATTACGATAGAGACGATAATAAAAGAAAAAGCAAAATAATAAGATAATAAGAGTCGTGGCATATGATGACTATTAGACAGAGATTAGAGTTCTGCCAAATAAGCTGAGCAAATAAGCTCAGGATTTTGCTCAGCTCTGAGATGGAGTCCAGAATTGTAGCTCACAGTTCAGCTTCTAGATTCAGACCAAATTCACATCTCGACCCTGTACTGTATTTCCAAATAGTTAAGCACAACTATTTGCCGAACTTTAACAAAGATTCAAGTTAATCGAAAAACAAAGTGAAATTCATTTAAGAAAAAAATCAAAGATGTTACATTACTAAGCTAGTACCCATATAGATAACTCGTTTATTAATTTGATTCAATATATGGAGACATTATTAAATTAGATGTTTGGATATGATAAATTTATTTAAAAAATTATATTTTATACAAAAACTAATATTATTCATATTGATTATGAGCAATTATTTGTTGCGATGTCATCACAATGCTGGGTATCAATTTTTCGTCACAATGGTCTCGATGTTAATAGTGTCTTATTATGTACAGTACAGTACAGTACTGTACATCATACTTTTCCTGTTAGCAGTGGAGTCATGCCGCTGATCTACCTAACTTCGTTCAGGAGAAAATTTTTGAATTGAAATAACGTATGTAATTAATCAAGGTCTCTTGTTCCTAAGCTTTCTATATCTTGTCTGGACTTTCATCTAACTCCATTCTCGAGATTAAGGTAGGAGAGATACATAGACGGGCGCCAGTGGGAATTTACAGGTCTACAATTTTTGAAAATTACAGCCCAATAAGGAAAATAATTCTGATAAATTTTTCCTATTTCCAACATTTAAAAATAATTTAGTTAAGTGAGCATCAACATTGATCAAATGGCGATCAAAAACTTTCACCGGCTAAATGTGATCCAAAATAGTTTTTGTGCTTTGTTTATTATTTTATTTAAAAAGTATAATCTTTGACTTATCAATGGGGAAATCATGAGTTAAGATGTCTTTCTGTAATGTAAGCGAATTGGAATCGTTCCTTCGTCTGGCAGTTTTTTGTGTGATTATATTAATAGCTTCCATTAAATATAAGAAATTTCCTTAAAGGGCAAAAGTAAGATGATATTATGTTACACATCCGATATGATCCCAATTCCCAAAAAGAAAAAAAAAATGCCCGCCAACACGATAAATTGTAGATCGATATTTTCTAAGTATTATCCAAAATTTTATAATTTCTATCCTTGATTGAGTCTAATAAATATTAATTATAAAAATACAATAGACTGATCTTTAAAATTTTAATATACATTTTTAATCCAACTCTTATAATTTTTAAAATTAATTTCTAAAGAAAATCCGATTTTGCTTGATTTCGTTAGCTCTCAATATATTGTATCGCCTGATAACACGTTTATTTTCAATAAGAGTTTTTCTGTGATTTTATCAGAACAGATGCGAAAAAGATTTGTAATAGTTATTTGTAACTTTCACTCACATACGGTTAAAGAAAATTTCACTATAACCATTATAATTTTTTCGCATTTACAGTTACAATAATTATATACTGTAATATATTCCAAGGACATTTTTGCTAGAACGGACATTTTTTTCGAGTCACTTCATGAAGTTATTTATAATTTTCATCTGATTTATCAGAATATCATTTTTTATTTTTCTATGTACATATCGTGGGTATATACTATATAAGCTGCTAACTGTGAATCCGTAATTTTCAGAAAACGCGGTTTGGAATTTTACATATCTGCCTATGGTCCCGAATATAGCGTGTAGAATATAATATGAATACTCCATTAATAAAAACCTATGAAATTTAGAGTTATCCGCTTATAATTATACATCCACGATTGCCCTTATTGTTTTTTTCTGCACATACCATAAAAGTGTGTGTGTTCATCCTATTTTTTAGTATTCTAGTATTATTTAATATTTTTTCTTTTATACAGCTCTCCCTTTATAGTCCGACGTTTTTTAATCCGACATGCTCAGTAGTCCGACGCACCTCCCGTCAAGGTACCCGTCCCCGTTACGTGTCTGCTTGCACAGAAGCATGTCGCGACGTGAATCTCTCCATCCAATTCGTACACGATGACACACACACATTTCATGTGTTTTCTGTGAGTAGTTCTGTTCGAACAGTTGGAGTAGGGAATATTGTAAGCTACTGCTAGCAAAACAATGCAAAATATGTAATTATTTTCGGTAATCCGGACACTTTTGGTAATCCAACATCCCTTTGGTCGCATACCTGTCGGACTATTAAGGGAGAGCTGTACTTTGTTTTTAAATCTATTCCTGCATAGCAACTTTTTGATTAATAAAATAAATTGTAGTTATTGATCAAGTTTGTATTGATTATGGCTTAAAGGTTTAGCGTCGCAAATGGGAAAAAGATCACAGCTTTAAAAAGTAGGTCACTGCCATCTCTGGAATGAATGATTAGATTCGATCTCAAAATATGCTGATTGTTACACAAATATTGTACATTTAAGCATTTTATTCTTAAACAATTTACATTCAAATGTATATCGTTGTAAAAGTAATTTTATAATAATTCTAAATACTTCTACCTTGTTTATGTTGTAAAATTAATATTTCTAGCTTCATTGACTTTTAATTTACAGGCTTTTATAACTTCGCGGAAAAGTATTGTAATCGTGTCAAATTTGACCTCCGAGTTTTTTGAAAATCTCGACGTTTTGAGATTCTGAACCCAAAAAGTTAAAAAATAATAATAATAAATCCGGAATATGTACAGTATGTTGGCGTGTATTTCGTTTAATAACTGAGGATAAGGTAAAAATTAAGAATCGAAATTCGGCATGACAACTTGTATTTAAGGGGCATTGATGGTATTAAATTTTGGTAGTTAAAAGTCGACTGGGTGGAAAGATAGAAGAAAGTCATGGGTCATATCTTAATAAAGATTTTACTCATTATTGGGCTGAAATTTGAAAAAACTGTAGACCTATAAATTTCCGCTGTCGTCTGTCCGCCCGCCCGTCTGTATTTCCTTAATCTCGAGAACAGTTACATAGATGAAATCCGAGATCAGATATAGAAACCTTAGGTGCAGGAGGCCCCGATTAACTGATTTAACTACATATGAACTTCTAATGCAAACCGGAAGTCAGGTTATTTCAATTCAAATATTTTCCTCTGAAAGCAGTTAATAAATGACCGGCACGACTCTAATGTTAAAGGAAAAGTATGATGTACAGGGGAAAGCCGCTACTAATTTGTGGTGGAGAGCATATATTTTAAATTAAATAAGTTAAAAAATATGATTAAAGATTTCAGCTCGGCTATGTGACGATCCCACAATAAATAATTACCCGTTCGTATTTTAAAAACTCATCTCTATTTTCACAGTTAAGCCTTTTTGCCTTTTTATAATAATTAATAATATAAAAGTTTTTAAATAACATCTCGTAACAGATGACGCAACACACAGTGTTAGCTTTGAAAGAGTTTAATGTTTTTTAAACTTAAATATTTTTAAAGTTTATTTAAAAGTTAAATAGAAATTTTTATCATAATTCATCAAAATTACTCCTTTTAAGCTTTGTTGTTATTTAAATTTTATATTCTAGTATAATTGAAAATTATCTGACATTGTAATGGTTTGAGTGCCGGAAAAGTCGAACTAGAGCCCTTGCCAACCTTTTTTAAAACTTCAATTTGACAAAAACCTATTTAAGTTGCATGCATTATTCTCTATTGTGTGTGTAAAAAATATATAAATAAAACTTCAAATACAATTTTTAAAATTGCAGAAAGTAATCTATTTTATAAAACGACTGTATTACATCAAAGTGATCAAAATTCTGTGCCTGTGTTTTATTTCTTCACAGAAACATTAAATCTTGAATTATGATTTACAGGTCTGTTTGATCTAGTTTTCCAAAAAGCTTTAAGATTATCCTAAAAATTAGAAGATGCAATTTTTATTAGTTTGTCGAAAATAAACAAATGTAAATAAATTAAGTTAAATAAATACACAGGGAACACCTCACATATTTATTTAACTTAAGGTAATTTACTTACATCAAACATCAAATTAATTTAACATCAATAATTTAATTAACATCAAAAAATAAGTGTAATTAGGAAGAAAGCTGGTTTTCCAAAACGCTTAGTTTTCGAGATAAAGGAGGAGTTAGTGTTAATAAAATCATAAATTATACACATTATTAATAAGGAGATTTCAATGCGTTTTAATATCTATTTCTTCGTACTTTTGTAAGTGCGTATATAGGCCTTTAATATTTGAGAAATGTAACGTAATGTAACAAAAATGAAGCATATAATTTAATATTTTTCTGAATACCTTTTGATCTTTTATTGTAAATTTATAAACTTACCTCAAACCGTCACCATACATAACACAACTCCGCGAAACTATTCCACACACTTTTTTATATTTTTGCAAATTATATTACCCAACTCTTGAATATTTTTTATAAGGGTCTAAAATTTGTGTCTTTTTTCTTCTAATTAGATTTTAAGTATTTATTTCGTTAGAATAAATGGCAGAGTATCGATCGCTGTGAAGCGATCGATATTTTGTCATCGGTGATCAATATTTTGGCTGCTAAAAGACCTTGAAAATCCTCTTTGAGGACATCGATATACAATGCTGGTAACAGAAATACACGGTTGATTTAGTTAGTTTATTTGGAAAAACATACTCTGTAATACTGTGTAGCCTAATAGCTCTAATGGAGAGTTTATAAATCGAAATGTATCACTGAGTATTACATAACAGAAAAATCTATTAGATTATAAGGATATTATATTAGATTATCTATGTTGACGACGTTCTTATAAACAAACGATTCGAATCAAGTTTTCGCAGATTTTCGAGTTTGAAATGTATAAGCATTTGCGTAGCTAAAAGATAATAACTCGGACCGATTCTGGAATTTTTAAATGTTGAATTTTTATCACAAATGTTGAAATTTATCATGTATGAGTTGAAAAGAAATCGTTCATTTCATGTATGGATTGAAAAGTGTTTCAAGAGCTATTGGATGTATTAGTTTCTGAGAAAAACCAAAATGAGGTTAATTTTTGTGTCCGGCTCCTCCAAATGACAAAAATTACCACAAAATTCGCAACTATACAGACATATGAGTACTTCACGTTACTTAACTACCTTTCCCGTTGGAGAAGTGGTAATAAGAGGTTGTATTTTTCCTGTCTACTCTCTACCGTGGTTCACATTTATAGATTAAAAATAAATAAATGTATACAGGTTTATGTTTGGTGATCTGTTTCTTGTGTGCATTGGTATGTTTATAATCGATTTTTGGTAGTTTTGAGACAGAAATGTTAGTCATCAAAAGTATAGGCCTGCAAAAACCGAAATAAAAAAATGTACAGGAATTTGGAAGGAAAAGAAAATTCGAAAATTGTTCCGAATGTTTTGCTTCTTTTGTTTTCTGCAAAATCTCTGTTAACAAAAATGTCAATTTTTCTTTTCTCGATTTCTTAAATTAAATCTTTCCTTCAGCCATTCGACCAACCAATATTCTTTGATTATCACGAATGTGTACATGTTAGGCTCAAAGACCGAAATCGCTCATTGAGCGAATAAAACGACCACAATGCGTTGTGGCTAACTCAAAACGACCACAAAGCGAAATTCGTGTCGTGGCTTTCATGATATTTGACCACTACGCGTTGTGGTGATTAAGAAAAGACATAACGCGTTCTGAACATTAGCTGATGCAACCACGATACAAAGGATAGGATTTTTTTATACTCTTTCCGCCCTGTGGGCACTTAGAGGGCCTCTTATAGCAGGCCCATTACGGGTTCGGCCAGGCCCACAGTGAGGCGTCCGGGTGATGAGGGACGGGGCCCGACATATCCGAACGGACCATCCCCGAAAAATTCCTGGGTTACGTTGACCCATCCGGATTAGTTCCCGGGTTCCCCAGAGCAATAGACTGCCACCTTGACCTCTCGGCCATCCGGCTGCAAAGGATAGGTTGTAACTTGTCAATGGGCGCATTGCAAACACTTGCGGAGTTTGTATTGTGTTCATTCTTGACCAGTGTCTAGGGTAATTACCCTTTTCTAGAGTAATTTCAACCTATCAGAGTAATGTTTCTGGTAGTCTTATATTTTAGGGTAAATCTAGGGTAAAACTACCCTGTGTTCTGATGCTATTACTCATCACTCCACAAGTTTCGCTGGAAAAAGTTTTAGCCTAAAACCATTCTGTTTTTCCCCATTCTGGAGGGTTTTAGGATTGGAAGCTAAAGAAATAATGCAGATTGATGGTAGGTACTGTACATGGGTGTACACTGTACAGTGATACTTCGGTTTTCGTCGATAATCCGTCCGAAAACAATCTGCGAAATCCGAAACCGACGATAACCGAAGTCAACGAAAACCGAGGTATTACGGTATATTACACCTGAGTAGGATTTCGCTATTCTCAACCTTCATGCCATTGAGCCATTGACGTTCTCCATATCAGATGTAAATTAATACCTCTAATAAAGCCTAAAAATCCTAAGACATTTTAGTTATTAAAATTTTCAAAAACAATGAATTAGGAATTGTTCCGATTATTATTTCACAATGATAGTACAGGGATCTGCATCATAGAATCATTCGTCTTATTTATTTATTTTTTTTATTCGAGTTTGAGCTCGAGCTCAGATTTTTCTCAATTTAGGGTAATTTTCTGCAGTTGAAATTGGTTCGATTGTTTTAGTTAGGGTGCCTAATGTTGATAGGGGACGTGCAGCTCCCAGAAATGTTTTAGCTGTTGTTATGAGCATTAATCCATCAGGTCTCTATCAGTTAGGAAACAAGAAAAGTCTTCTTGGTCGACTTTATGCTCATAATGAATTTACAATTTCTGCAGTAACTTTATTAACTAACATTCAGAACACACCCTCAACTTTATTAACATTCAGAACGCACCCTCAGCTTTATTAACATTCAGAACGCACCCTCAACTTTATTAACACTTCGCTCAGCATCCATGTTAACATCTGGAAGTATGCAAGGATTTATAATATGTCACTGTAAAAGATACTGTATTGATAAAAATGCAAATGTGGTTCAAAGAGCATAAAATGCATGAATAATTAAATGTTGTTGTAAAGTAACCAAGTTAAATTTCTGTATATGGTGAATAATTTTGTTACCTGCGTATATAAGATGATTGGAGATAAATAAATCATGATTAAAAAGAAAGTTTTATTTTCTTATCATCACCTCGTTATAGTTAACATCCAGAACGTGTAGTGGCTTTTAACCATAATAAATCCGTTGCACAGTGATTTTTAACTTTAGCAGCTGATTTTTATTTTATCGTGTATAGGTATATCAAGCACCTACAAGTATTTGTAATGAGACCTTTAGCACTTTTTAGCAAAACAAAAGAAACAAGAGTGTATTTTTCTTCATATATTTTATTTCTTTGAAATTTTTTAGGTATGAAAATTAAATTTCTAGGAAAACTTGTAGAAATAATGTTGTTCGGCATTAAAAATCGTAAATAAAAGTGTTTCGAGCCTATAATCCATATTTTAAAGTTACAAACCACTGCGCGTCGTATGATCCTGTATCGTGGTTGCATCGGCTAACGTTCAGAATGCGTTATGGCTTTTCTTAATCACCACAACGCTTAGTGGTCAAATATCACGAAAGCCACGACACGAATCTCGCTTTGTGATCGTTTTGAGTTAGCCACAACGCGTTGTGGTCGTTTTTTTTTCTCTCAATGAGCGATTTCGGTCTTTAAGCATAACATATACATTGTAAATGTATTTCCAGGAACGAAGTTTTATTCTCCTGGCTGCTATATATATATAACAGATGGAAAGTATGACGATCGCAAAAAATTAAAATTAACCTCTAAAATTTTTTCATTTTTGAACTTGAAATGTCGAGAAATGCAAAAATAAAAAAAATTCGGGTGGTTTTTTCTATATGTATTGATGTTAGTATTTGATATGTGTGTGGGAAGTACGATTTTATTCGTCCACTTTGAAGCTTAATAGCTCCCATGCTTTTTGTCGAAAATTTTTGAAATTTTGCAGAAAAATTTGTACAGTATATTAGGGGAATGAAGCTATTAAATTTTGATGGTTAAAGCTTGAGAGAGTTGGACGATAGAGGGGGTCCCTTTTCATATCTCGAGTGACGTCAAGACTGAATGAAGATTTTACTCGTTATTAGCATTTCAAATTTTTTATAAAACTCATTTCTAGCTTCAAAATTAAGCTTTTTGCCATTTTATAATTATTAATAATATAAAACGTTTTTTTAAAATAAAAATCTCGTAACAGATGTCGTCACACGCAATTTTAAATGTTTTTGCCGGGATAGTTCCACAACTCGTTGCTGGATTTTTTTTAAATAGTTGTTTTTCATGAGAGATGGCCAAGCGACATTGCAACGATGCAGCAATGTAATAAGAGATGAATACAGGATTCTTGTTATAAAAGTTATGTAGAATTCCAATGAGCAATTGTTTATTATGATGTCACAATGCCGAGCTGCAAATTTTAATCATATTTTAAATTTATTTAATTTAAAATATATGCTCTGGATTTTAGTGTCTTTTTCCTTTACATTATACTTTCCTGTTAACAAAAGAGTCATGCCGATCATTTATCTAACTCCGTTCTGGGGGAAATTTTTTGAATTGAATCTGTCAATGCTGAAATTCATA